GGGGGGGGGTGGGGGTGGGGGGGGGGTGGGGGGGGGGGGATGTTCTAGGATAGAGGGAACAGGGTTGGGGCTTTCACCAAGCTGACCACGGGTCGGGGCCATTCTCTTCTCGCAGCACCGAGCCGTGGTGTACATGCTGTATGGGGTCCTGGCCGTGCTGGGCAGCATGGGGCTTGTCTACCTGATGGTCATCCTCTCCCACTGCCTTGTCCTCTACTCCGTTGCACTGGCCAAGCAGAAGTGGCTCTGCTATGTGGCCGGGCTTTGCTGTCTCGCCTCCTTCAAGGTGGAGCCATTCAGCTCCTGGCAGGGAGGGGAGGTGCTGTCTCAGAACATCCATCTGCCTCATTTCCAGCCCACTTGCATCCCTCTCCTTGGGTTTATCTCCAGGGAGGGCTCCTGGGGCACCCCCAAACCGTGGGCACTTCTCCTGGCTATATCAGAGCTCCCACAGGGGTTGAGAGGGAGGGGACTGTGGTGCCGCTGAGCTTGGGAATAATCCCACAGGAGCTATGTCATGTTTTGGTGGCTTCATGCTGGGCCAGAGTTCCGGACACCTGAGTCCTTCTTGCTGCTCAGGCAACAGCTTGTCAGCCAGGCAAGACGTGTTCCTGTCCTGTGCCTCAGTTTCCCCACCTGTAACAGAGTGCTGGGATGAGTTCAATGACGCCTATGCCTATCTCTTAGGTCTCTGCCTGGTTAAGACTTTCTCTCACTGGTGGGTGGAGAGAAGCCCAGGAAGGACCTTATAAAGCTATTCAGTCCCTCTGAAGGACAGTGCTGCCTGTCTTTGCCTGCTGCTTACCTCCTGAAATGCGTTTCCCCCCCCTCCATCAGGCTTGTGCTGGCTTTCCTTCACCTCCTGGGGAGGGTCATGTCCCTGCGACAGGGTGACATTCCCACCCCAGGCCAAAGCTTGTGTGGTCCACAACTGCTTGGTGAAGACATGGCCAAGAGGATCTACCACTTCCCGGCTCCTCCGGGATGCAGGAACCAGCTAGGAAACCGAGCCCCAGTTTTCTCCTTCCAACAGCAAAGCTCATTAGCTCCAGGGACAATTGGTTTTGGAGCATAATTAGAGGCTTTGCCTACTGCCCTGGGAGCAAATGTCCTCCACAAAGTGAGGGAGCACAGAAGTGACACCACATTCCTGGTGGTAACTCTTTGTTTCTCATCCAGAGCGGGTTTGTAACGGGAGCTTTTGATCTTCAAGATGTCCTTTTCTATGGAGGAAGCAGCTTCACCATCATGCGCTGCATGAGCTTTGCACTCGAAAGCTCTGAGAGGAAAGAGGGCATCTACTCCATCTTCGACCTCCTCAAGTACAACTTCTACCTCCCCTTTTTCTTCTTTGGGCCTGTCATGACGTTTGACCAGTTCCATGCCCAGGTGAGTGCTCCTGAGGCCAGGCTGGAGGCCAGGCTGGAGGAGGACCTCTCCCCGTGTTTATTTGCTTGGGTTTAATGGCTACAAAAAACCTCTGTTTGCCACAGTGAAGGTGCAAATATTTGTAGAGCTTCTCGTGGTCACGTAGAGTGTGTGGCCATAGTCTGGGCTGGGCAACGATGACATGATTTGGGGGGAGAGGGGCATAAACTGATGGGTTTTTAACCTTACCTTGTGGGTTTTTTTGGCCATTTCCACTGATCAGTACAGGAGGGAAGATGTTGCTGTGGTGAAAACACCATGCTGGGATGAGGAGGGGAGGGTTCAGCTCATGTCCTTGCTCGCTGGGCACCTGCACTGCTCAGTGCCTCGGTTTCCATGCACTGTCACCCCAGCAGCTCCATGCTGCCCCACTGTGCGGTGCTGGGAGGCCACGGTAAGTGGCAAACGTGGTGCCCATCCGTGGGACCTCTGCACGTTGGGGGCTGTGAGAGCAAGGGAAGTCTCATGTTTCCATCCAGCTGGTTCACCCAAGGAGCATGAATTTCTGGAGATGGTCTGTGTTTCTTAACATGAAGTTATTTCTCTAGAAATAAGTAAGATTGGGTGGAAGGCTGTGTTGCAGCAACCGGGGGCTTCCTCTGTTCCCCATGAAATACCCTGGTGCCCCAAGTCCTTGCCTATATCACATACAACCGAGGGGACTTTTTTGAAGAGCAGACTCCAAACAGCAGTGGAAAATATCAGCGGAAGCATAGGCTGGGACCAGCTGACCTCTGGGGCTGTTTCACATCCAAAGATCAAGCAAAACGGCAGTGCTTTTTCCCTCCTCCCTTTTCCCATCCCAACGTCCTTTTACACCAATGATCAACCTTGGTCATCAAAGCAAACTGGTACTGCTTGCTAAGGGAGGGACCTCTTGCTTGGTCAGCAATTGTGCTGGGAAGGATTGCCACCACCCCTTTGTTTTCTTTTAAAGAAGAGCAGCTACATTGAATTTTGGGACCCCAATTGACATCTGGGTGCAAGAGCTTTTTGGAAAAACATGTGTGAACACAGGGGAGAGGAGCCAGAGCCTCCCTGGTGAGGAGGAGACCAAAGACCCACCCAGTCCAGCACTTTCTCTCCAACATTGGGCTGGTAGTGGTTGCCTAAGGAAGGGTCTGCACTGGTCTTGTTTCCTCCAGAGAGCAGGATGAGCCCTGATCCAAGTCCTTGCTAGTTCGTTCAACTGGGGCATGACAACCTCATGCTGCATTCTGAAAGGATGAGAGAGCAGGATTGAGATACCTTGGGTCTTGCAGGATCGAGATCCCTTGGGTCTTGCAGGATCTATTTAAAAGGACTTTCATAGCATTTGACCCTGAAGGTCATAAGGTCAGCTCTGGTGTCCCCCATGAGGATGCTCATGGTGCATTGAGTCCACCAGCAGCCCATTCTCAGCAGACAAGCACCAGGGATGACCAGGCCCCAGCTGGACTCTTCTCCCCAGGCTGCTGGAAGAAATGTTTCATCCTACGGCTTCATCTTTCCAGTTGTGTCTTATCTGAAGTCCAGGCGAGTGTGGCTCTAGCAGCTCCACTGTCCAACCCCCTCCGGAAGGGGTTCAGTGCCCTCCTTACCCCATGTTCCTCTTCCTTCCCCAGTTTCCATCAGTCTTTCCTATGAGATGGGCAGCCCTGGCTTCTTCTAACACTGCAGACAGGTATCTATAAATCAGGGCATTTAACTGCTGGTGTCTCCAAAACCTGAACTCCCACCGCTCCTGCAAGGTTTGATCTGGAGGGTCCTGTTCCTTTTGCACAGCCCCAAACCATGTTTATAGCCACTTACTGCGCAATCCTTGCCCTCTGTTTCTTAAAACTCTTACACCAAAGGCACAGTGAGTAAGTCCCCAACCCCTTTCCGATGCCCCAGCCAGGGGTCCTGTCTTGGCTTGGCCACCACTGCCATCTCCTGGCTAGATGCCCCCCTGCACTGCTGGAGCTGCAGTTAATTGCAGAGGTGAATTCCTAATTGCCCAACAGCAATTAGGGGAGCAGGCAGATGGAGTCCCTTCCCCAGCGTGGGGTGGATGGCTCAGTTAGGGAACGGATGGCTCAGTTAGCTCCTACTGGTGCTACGTCCTGGTGGAGCCTTTGCACGCCCGTGTATGATGGGAACCCATCTGTACCAGGGCTTGGCCAGCCCCATTTGAGCTGAAGAGCATCTTCCTTACTAAGATCAAGGGAACAAATTCACTTCTGTAGGTCTGGAAGTGTGGGGGACACAGCCCTGATCCCAAAGGGGTGGTGGCAGAGCACTGCCACCATACGCAGACGTGAGGACAAGAGGAAATGGCCTCAAGTTGCGCCAGGGGAGGTTTCGATTGGACATTAGGTAA